CCGAGCACGCGAAGCACTGTAGCATCAGGGCGTGCTGGATCGACAGGAAGCAGGCCGTGCCTCTGCGCGCGCGTACATGCTATAATTCATGACGAATCTCCATGGTAGGTTCGCAGGGCGCGGGCGTGCGCAAAATTTTGGACACCGCGTCCATGGGTCAATATTAAATCAATCGCGGCCCCGATCGTTCAAGGTTGAATTCCGTCGGGTCCAGAGGCGTCGCGTTGCCGTGTCCCTCGGCGTTTCCGCGTCGCAGACTTCGACCTCGAACGCCTTCGCTGGCGTCGCTGGCGCGCCGCAGCCGCATGAACCCACCGTGCGTCCAGAATCATCCGGCCACTATCGACAGCTCACCACCGATGCCAGCGCGCGCGGCACTGCAAGCCTGCGCGAAGGTGCAGGGTGGCAAGCTCGAGGCAGGAGCGGCCCCCAATGGGGGCGTTGGACCGAGATGAGGAGAGCCTATTGTTCAGCAGTCCGGCATGGGCCTGGAGGAGATCCAGAGGCAGCATCTGCAGGGCTGAACATTGACGGCCCCGCCCCGCCTGCAAGACTGTTCTCATGTCTGTGGAGGCGACGCAATTCCGAAAACTGCATCGAAACCCCGCGCACGCAGTTCGGCAACTTCTCAGGGTACTGGAATCGGGCAACCCGCGCGCCTCGTTTCGAGTCAAAGCTCCGTTCGGGTGTTCGGCGTGGCCCGCAGAGGCCATCTCGGGCACAGGCAACTAGAAGCTCTTGCGAGGAGATCCCCGTTGAGGAGGCCTACTAAAGACACCCCTGGAGCTTAGACTAACCGTGATCCATGCCATCCAGAGAGCTGCCCAGGTCAGGACGGTCTCCGCTGACCTCGCTTTCCTCTTTCGCTGCTGATGCGCGTGCTCAGGGCGCGCTGCCTGCCCCTCCTCCTGCCCCAGTGTCTGAAGAGAGAGAGAGAGAGAAAAAAAAAAAAGAAAGAGAGAGAGATAACAAAAAAAAGAAAGAATAACAAGGAATCAATAAAGAAAGAGATAGAGGAAGAAAAAGAAGAGAGAGCAAGAGAGAGAGGGAGAGAGAGAGAAAGAGCGAGAGAGAGAACCCACAGAAAAAAAACAGCGCACGTCAGCGGTGCGTTGGCAAATAGTACAAATAACAAAATCCGCTGCCGGAGCCACAGGTCCGAAACAAGGAGACGCCGCGAAGAGGTGAAGGGAAGAGGACGAAAGTGAGGAGGAGGGGGGAGAGGAAACAGCACGGGCAGGCTCACTGCTCACGCTGTTTCAGTCCATGTGAATGGCTATACCACCGCCCCGTAAGCAGAAAATGTCCACTTCAGATTCGGAGAGCAAGCCATACCTGTTGAATGCTACAGCTGTGAGCCAAAACACCTCGCGATTCGGCGCCAGTCTCCAGGTCTGTGCCGCCCAAACTCCTGCAAGGCGTTTCGGCCACCAGCCGCCGCGCAGGCCAAATCAAACACATTGCGTTTCCATGATCCACGGCCTGCCTCGCTTCCGGGCCCGCAAGGGTGGGCTAGGATGAGCGACCCTGGCTGGAAAACCGTTCGTCGTAAGACATCGTCGTCTGGGAGACAAGCGATATTGCCCATCAGTTCGGCTGCTTGCAGGATAAATTGGAAATCGAACGTTTCCTGCCGCACCTCTCCAACACGGCTGCATTGGACACCCTGCTGAGATAGGAGTGAGGAAAGCCAGCGGTTCTTCGCAGGCATCGAGCTCGGAAGGCATCCGGTCGCGATCTCTCTGCCTGGTTCAACCACAAGGCGTGAAGACCGAGCATCCGCTTGGAAACGGCACAGGCTTCAAACATCATGACCTTCTTGGACAAACATGTCTCCGAATGTTTTTACAATCTGGACGAAGCATCGAAATCTCTTCGCGCCATGCCGGTGCCCTAATCTAATTTTCCGCTCCGCTCCCTACGTCTTCGTGGTGTATCCCTCCCAAATACATCATGTTATCCTTCTCGGTTATCGGTTGGCCGTCAGGGCGAAAAAGCTGGCTGGCAGCGAACTGGCAATACATTTAACTTGCCCCAATCGAAACATAAGCCGTAATTGGTGCCGGCCTCTCTGATGCTCTCTATGAGATAGCGGGCGTACTCTTCTGTCACAGCCACAATCAATTTATCATCGGCGTAGGTCAACTCGCTCAAGTGCAGCCGACCATCTTGATGAATGCCTTTGCCGCGCATGCTGCGCGTCGGTTTCGCACATAATCTCACGGCCCCCTCCGTTGCCTGTTGCCTCCCTTCTTCTCGTCCTTTCTCCCGCGGCTGCTGATGCTACCTGCTCCCGCTTTCATCTGGCCTCCGTGTGTGTGGCGTGCGTGCACGTGGCGTTGGTGGTGTCCTGTTCCTTCTCACCCGTCGTTCCCCGTCGTTCCTTCGTCGTGTCGTTGCTGGGCCGTGGCCTAGGACTGATTTGGGGCAGACTTCCGACTCTCTTTTGTTGCGAGACTGCCGCTGGGAGGATGGTGCTCATGACAGTCCTCAGGACGGTCCTGCTTTGGGCCACTGGTTTTCCCCAGCGAGGCTGCAGGCTATAGCCCCGTGCTGTCCGCAGATCCTTTGACATATCTTACACGCGCCTCGCAACGTGTTGCTTTCCAGGCGTCACTCACCAGGGTCCCAAGCGTTCCAGTCCAGTCCAGTCTTCTTGTTAGCATTAGGTGTAATCATAATATTGTGTTCTCAAATTCTTCGCATAACTATTACTCCTGTTCTGACTCTCCTCCTCCTCCTCCTCCTCCTCCTCCTCCTTATCCTTAGAACTATGAATTTAATAATTGTTGTTATGTTTATTCCTCCTCCTCACTTTCCTCCTCCCTTCCTCCTCCCTTTCCTCCTCCTCCTCCTCCTCCCTCGGCCTCCGCCTCCGCCTCTGTTTCCGCCTCCTTTTCCTCCTCCTCATCCGCCTCCTCTCCTGCCTCCTCCCTCCGCCCCCATCCCCTACGCCGCCCTCCTCCTCCTTCCACAATCCTTGTGTCGATGGTCCTTCATCATTCTCTCGTGCTTTCCTTCTCCTCGGAGGGGGACGCTGTCTAGACAGAGAAGGAGAGAGAGAGAGAGATTGGCGAGATGCGTCAAGTGAGGGAGGCCCCCATGCCCTCAGCAGTGCCCACTCTTGCCCTCCCGCGCCAGCTCTGGCGGACCATTCGTCAACGTCGCCTGCTATTGGCAACGGCAGCTGCTTGCATGATAGGATCATTTGCCTACGTTCGGCTGCACGTGCCCCGCGCAGCCGCTCAGAAATTTACTGGGCGGCCGGCTGCGAGCATTCGTCTGCGCAGGCCCCGCGCGCACTCGGGTGCGCAGGCGGGAGGGAAGAAAGAAGTACCGATGCATCCGGGGCCCCAAGACCGTGTGGTCACGGAACCGCGTGGCGTCCTCGGAATCCCAACGACCTCACCAAGCGAACCGTCACCACACGGTCTTGGGACCTGGGATGCCCATGGTCGCCCGAGACGTCCTCGAAGAGCGACCCGAGCCCCGAAGACCGCGTGGTGATCCTCCCCGCTAAATCACCACGCGGTGTGGTCACCACACTGCTTGGGGGCCCCAACGACTCCCTGGCCCTCTCCCGAGGTCAATTCTGACCAGGACTGCGGGGAGAATCCAGCCGCGGCGACGAGGGCTCTCCAGGACGAGCAATCTCATCGGTAGACCTTCTCTTCCCCCGACAGGTCGTGCACTCGGCCGCACGGGCCCCGCGCAGGCTCGGCTGCGCAAGTCTTGCGCGACCGCCGAGAAGAAAAACAGAGGTGCGCTGCTCCCCCCCCGCCGTGCCCCGCGGGCGCTCGCCAGTCTGCTGCCTGGGCTGATGGCCGCACGAAGTCTGCTGCCGCTCCCTCCCATCTCTCCCTTTCTCCACCCTCGACTACTCCTCTATCCCCCGTGCATCCCTCACATCCATCCCTTCCTCCTCCCTCAAGCCCCTCCTCTACCCCCCGAGCCTCCCTCACATCCATCCCCTACCTTTCCTCTATCTCCCGTGCCTCTCGCATCTATACTCCACGGTCGGAAATTGTCGCTCGGCGTCGTGGTGGAAGCACTGGCGACGCGCTGCCTTGCAAGCTGATTGCATGTCGCTCTGATTCGTGGGACGGGAGGCAAGGAAAGATCGGAACGCTAGTGCTTAGCGCGCCGTACCGAAGCGTAACTACTGGGCCAAACCAGGCGGCCCGACACGATGAGCAAACGTTAATGCCCCTACCCCCAGCCCCCTGCGGGAGCCTATCGCAGCGACGTTCTTGCGAGAGGTGTCGAAACCCATCGGCCCCCTACAGGGGTAAGGACCACGGCTTCCGGCCTGCCTATGCCGAGACCGTCCACGGCGACAGCACGACCGCAAGCCAACCGAACCGACAGCAACTCCGAAACCAACGGAAACCGACAGGCCGCCGAGCAGCCTGGAAGGGGGCGGGCGACGCATCAGCGACAGGACGAACTGGCCAGACCGAACGCGACCGAACGGTGACCGACCGCGAGTAGCAACCGACTGCGACCGAACCGCAGACGCCGTGTACACCTCGATCCTCGATTCCCCGCTCTCGCTCCCTTCCTCCTCGCCGCTCTACCTCCTCGCACCCCTCCGCGACCGCCCGCAAGCCTTCTTTCTCCCTCCCACTCCTCCTTCTCCTCCTCCTCCTCCTCCTCCTCCTCCTCCTCCTCCTCCTCCTCCCCTGCACCTGCACCTGCGCCTGCACCTGCACCTCCTCCTCCTCCTCCTGCTCCTTCTCCTCCTCTGGCTGTTCCTTTCTTGCGCAGGCCGCTGGGCGATCCACCCGTACCCTTGCTGTTCCTCCTCCTGCTCCTCCTCCTCCTCCTCCTCCTCCTCCTCCTCCTCCTCCTCCTCCTCCTCCCCGCCTCGCCGAGGGGCACCTCCGTCCAAAAAAACACCATCCGCGGCGGGCGCCGCGGATGCGCGAATGCGGTGCCGCCCGCGGGCACCCCGCCACCCAGCCGCGTGCGGGCCTCGCGCGGCGTGCGCCTCGGGCGCCTCAGGCGCCGCCGCACTTTATGCACAGGTCCAGGTTGCCTCCCCCCCCGCCGATTCGCATTCGCCGCACTTTCTGCACAGGTCCGGATTGCCTCCCCCCCCTCGCTGCTTCGCACTCGCCGCTGCCTCGCCTAAAATGCAACTGAGCGCCGTCATCCCGATCGCCGTCGTCCGTCGCCCGACGTCCGTCCGCCCCCTTCTCCAGCCTCTGTTCATCCTCCCGCCTCTCTCCTCATCCCTCGCTTCTCCTCCCGCCTCCTCCTCGTCCTCCTATTTTGCCTGCTCCTCCTCCTGCTCTTCCTTCTCCTCCTCTTCCTCCTCCTCGATCCTCCTCGATCATCCTTTTCCACCTCCTCCGCCTCCTCATGCTTCTCCTCAGCCTCCTCCTCATCTCTTCCTCCTGTTCCTCCTCCTCCTCCTCCTCTTCCTTCTCCTGTTCCTCCTCCTCTTCCCCACTCCGCTCCTCCTTCCCACCTCCACCTCCTTGTTGCTCTGCGATAGGTACCTGCAGCTTGTGCGCAGTGCTGCAAAGGTAGCGCAGTGAGCACACCTAGCGTCATGCCACCGCCGAGCGTGAGCCTCCGACCCCTCCTCCCCTTCCTGATTCCTCCTCTCTGTCCCTTTCCCCCCCCCCTTCCCTCTTGCGTTTTCAGCTCCTCGTTCCTCCACCCCTCTCTTCCTCCCTCCTCCAGCAATCCTCCTCCTCCTCCTCCTCCTCCTCCAGGAGCCTGAGGCCGCCCCCCCCCCGGGGGCCGTCTTGCGCCCTCATAGAGGGCATCCGAAACCGGGTCCGTGTGTGGTCTCTCTCGGGCGACCCTGGGGCCACACTGATACCTTCAGGGCCCGTCGGAAACTGGACAGCAATAAGACCCGAATTATTGAAACACATCAGGTGGTTGATGCGTCTTGCGTCTCGAGGCCATCCTGGAGAGGCTTTGCTGCTACTTCGGTCCGTCCTATGGCAAAATGGAGGCCTCTTAGAAGCCCAGTGGAGGCCATATTGGCCCGTCGCGAGCCGTGTTGGTGGCTATCTTGGAGACTGCCTCGCCTCATCTTGCCTTGCCGAGGCCATGACTGGGACCACACGCCGGAGCCGTGGCCGAGTGGCGGCTGGAGGGGCTGAACCGTGCTGTTAGAGGAAGGACCTTGTTTTGGGTCTGGACGGAAGGGGCGCGAGGGACAAGAGCGCCCAAGATGGTTCAAGATAGCTCAAGGACGGCCCAAATAGCTCACGATGGCCTCCAAAATGACGGAGCATGACTCAGGATAGCCTTCAGCATGCCTCCAAGAAGCCCCAAGACCGCCCCAAGATGGCTCCAAATGGCATGGGGTCCCCAAGGATGCCCGCGACATGTCAACATCCTTGACACACCTACGGTTTCTCCATGCTTGTTGCTTCATCGCCCTTTCGCTCCCGATGGGCGTCTGAGGCCTCAAAATGACTGCAATGTCGCCCAAGAGAGCCCCAAAGGGGAGTCCATAAAGGCTTCAAGACAGCCTCGAAGGCCCCCCAGCGCCACGAAAGTTTACCCAGACGACCTCAGATTTGATCGATTTCCTCCAAGATGGCCCACTAGGGCCTCAAGCGAGCCCCAAAGGTTTCAAAGTTGGCCTCACCAGCGCCTGAAGATGATCCAAATAAGCCTTAATTCTGCGCCCAGATCAAAAGGTCCGAATGAGTCTGCTCGGGCTGATCCCGGGCTTCGGATTGACGGCTGCCCCCACCTTCTTTTCACTGCATGCTCCTGCACTTCCCTGATCAAGGCAGCTCGCCTGAAAATCGTCTCGGGATGGGCTAGTTGGGATGCGCGCGGCGTGCAGCGTCGTAGCTGCCACCGCAAGAAACTGCCACGCGCAAGCGCCATGGATTGACGACCAACCAGTGTCCTGCAATACGAAAGGTATCAGCTACAACTTGGAGGAGGGGAAGGATGAGGGAGAACAGCGAGGAGGGAAGGAGGAAGCGCTGCAAGGAGGGAAAAAAACAGGGAAGAGGAAGGAGCCCGGCCACGGCGACCGTCGTGGTGAACAATGCGGTCGAAGCAGCTCGTCACGAGCGCGTGCTGCTTGACGATCTGCGAGATGTCTGGGCGCTCCACGAACTTCAGGGACTTTGACCTGCACGATAAGGAATGCCACTACACCCTACTCCACTCCCTCCCTCAAGGAGGAGGAGCCATAACGGATGAGGGTGGGGGGTATCTGACTGAACCACGGCCACGATAAGCATGACGATGTCGATGCCAAAGGCTAGCATCAGCAATCCGTCGGTCAAACAGTCAAGCTGTTATCAGAAGGAACCGCAGAGTAAGGAACAGCGCCCCTTGATTGCCCTCGAAGCTCCTGGGTGCGCGAGAAGCGCTAGAATAACATGCATGGAAGGACCGACGTGAGGAGCAACGAGCCCCTCCGAACCCAAACTGTGCCTCATGGCAGCACAGAAGAGCCGAGATGTTCCCTCCGAGAAAAATGAGACTGGGCTGGAAGAGGGGGAAAAACTGGTGTGAGACCTCTCTGGCTCCCTCCCCACCTTACCTAGGATCTTCCGCGCCTGCCTGCATCCAATGCTCCCAACCATCCTGTGGTGTTTGGCCCTCGTCTTGAAAAGACAACGCCCCGCGTCTCCTCTTTCCTCCTCTCCCTCCTCCTCCCCCCTCCTCCTCCCATCCCTTGCTTCTGCCCTCCGCGTGTCCCCATGATCGTCACCATCATCATCGTCATCGCCGTCATCATCACCATCATCGCCACACCCAGTTCAGCGTTTCGTGGCCCCGTAGGGAGCTCCACCGAAGGTCCCAGTGGCACAGTTCGCATGCGCTTCGTCCACCCAGCGCAGCGCTTCGTGGCCCCATAGGGAGCCCCACCGAAGGTCCCAGTGGCGCAGTTCGCATGCGTTTTCCCAACCCAGCACAGCGCTTCGTGGCCCCATAAGGGGGCTTCACCGACAAGGAACCCCACCGAAGGCCCCAATGGCGCAGTTCGCATGCGTCTCCCCCGCCCAGTACAGCGCTTCGTGGCCCCATAGGGAGCTCCACCGAAGGTCCCAGTGGCACAGTTCGCATGCGCCTCCCACACTCAGTACAACGCTTCGTGGCCCCATAGGGACCTCCACCGAAGGTCCCAGTGGTGCAGTTCGCACGCGTCTCCCCCACTCAATGCAGCGCTTCGTGGCCCCATAAGGAGCTCCACCGATGGTCCAAGTGGCGCATTTCGCATGCGTCTCCCCCATTCAGTACAGCGTTTCGTGGCCCCGTAGGGAGCTCCACCGAAGGTCCCAGTGGCGCAGTTCGCATGCGTCCCCCCCGCCCAGTATAGCGTTTCGTATAACACGCTGGCGTTCACGTCCTACCTGGGACGCAAGGCCGAGTGGGGCGTGGAGGAGCGGGAGTACGACCAGGTCGGCGGCGCCGTTGGCCGGATGCCCATCGTGATCCACCTGGGGGACTTCTTGCAGCTGAAGCCGACGGGAGGCAAAGTGCCCCTCATCTCCAGCTTCGAGGAACTGGCGGCGGTGGGCATCAGCTTCGCTCCAGAATGCCAGGACGTGTTGACTCTCTTCTGCAACGCGCCGCTGTGCTCCGAGCTCCGGGCGTCCATGCGTTTCAAGGACACGAAACTCAAGGATCTCATGGCGCTCCTGCGCAAACTAAGGAAGCGGGTCCCTTCGGCCATCCGGGCCGCGTGGGACGCAATGCAGCTGAAACCCGGCGGTCGTCGGCTCTGGGAGGAGAGGTTCCAGAAAGGCCACATGATCGGGTCCTACTGGGGCACCGTGGCGCGGTGGACGAACGTGCGTGCCCAGCGGGACGCGGACGTCCTGAAACAACCGCCCTTCCTCTTGCAGGCAGCCGACAGGCCTGCCCCGACGATGAATGTCAAGGACGCCGCCAATATGATGAACTGTGCCAACCCGAAGGAAGAACACCGGTGGCATGCACGGACTCCTCCCGGTGCACGCGGGCATGCGGATCCAGCTCTGGCTCCGAGAGGCGCTCGACCTGAAAAAACGGCCTCGTCAAGTACGCCGAGGGGCTGATCGTGCACATCGTCGTGGACCCTCGGGATCGGGGCGACGTCGAGAACGACGAGAAAAACGGGGAGAACAGGATCTATCTGAAGCGCTTGCCGCCGGGGTTCTGGGTGTTCATGGAGAAGTACGCGAGCGCGCCCTTCGTGGACGACCTGAAGCGCCACGACGACAGCCTCACGGGGGAACTTCGCGGGCCCGCTGGCGTTCATCCCGCTCACCTTCCGCAGCTCCAAAGTCACCGGGGCGGGCTTCCCGTTCTCGCACGGCAGGGTCATCACCACGGTGGTGTGCAAGGGGCGCACCATGCAAGAAGGCGACGGGGCGAGGGAACGGCGCCCCTGGGCAGTCTACAGCCGAACTTACTGGGCGCGAGCGGTCCGCAGCCAGACCATGTCTCGGTCCTGTGGACTCGCCCTGGGCCGTCGGCTGTCCGGCGCGCTGCTCCCTCGGCCCGCGGCCGGCGTCGCCCAAGCGTGATCCTGGATTGCGGTCGCCACGAGGTCGGGAACGGCAAGAAGGTAGACGATGACTCGTGGCTGGAGCTCTATGCGCTGCTCTCGCGCGCCATGCGCCACGAGGGCCTCCTGCTCATGCGGGCGCCGCGCATCGAGTCCTTCCTGGCAGGGCCGCCGGAGGGCTTGCGGAAGCAGCTAGAGCAGTTTGCGGCGCGCACGAAGCGGTGCAGGAGGGCAGCGACGGCTCTCGCCAAGGAGCTCGGCTTCACCGAATTTATCCGCGAGGCCTGACCTGAGGAGCGTCCCGCCCAAGCCGCGTTATCTCTCGACTGTCCAACTTTTTGTTTGGCATCGCACCGCTGGCGACCCGCGCGCGTCGCTGGGGCCGTCTCGGGGCGACCAGCGCGTCGCGGGAACTCCGTGCCGCGTTCTGCCCAGCGCCTTTGTTCGCCCGTCGTCGCTTTGCCCAGCGGCCACAGCCGCGCCCGCTACCAGCCGGCCAGCTAGTTCTCTTTGCTCCGCGCAGCGGACGACCCGCGCGCGTCGCTGGGACCCCTCCATGGAAACCTGCGCGCGTCACGGGGATTCCGCGCTGCACTGCGCCCGCAACCTTGGACTTTGGAGCGCGCGGGCAAAGAGGGAAGAAAAAAAAGAAGGAACGAAGCGGGTGCGATCCTCGTGAGGGGCGTGCCGACATGGGCGTCGCGGCGTGCGGGCGTTGCCGTCGGGGTTCCCGGGGAAGCTCCCTGCGGCGACCACGCTCAGCGTCACGAGTACTCAAAGTCAGGCATGCCCGAACCGTTCACATTCATATACATTTACACTAAGCGTATCCATGCACGCACTCACGCAAATACACTCACTCGCACGCAGGTCATGCACACTCAGACTCACTCTCGCTCAGACTCACCCACGCTCAGTCTCTCGAAATTCGCCCTATCGTCTTCGTTCGCGTTGTGTGCCCCGCCACACAATTCGGCACACCCCGCATACGGTTCGTGGATGCGCGGCCCCATAGGGAGCGCCACCGAAGAAGATATTCACTGCATATGGTTGGGTCCTTCGCCATGATATTTGTTCGATGGTGTTGCTGCCGCTGCTGCGTCTCATGCTCCTAATCATCAGGGTCCTTCCCCGCATCAGGATCCTGGTCTTCCTCCTCCTCCTCCTCCTCGACCTCCTCCCTCTCTCCCTCGCTTCCTCCTCCGACATCCAACCAGAATCCCAGTATGATACTGATTCCTAGCCAACTCACAACACCACTTTCCAACCAAGTCCTGCAGTGCCGGCAAGCTGCATCATATGGAGATGTCGACACACGCCTGGACTTGTTCCTCTGCGTCCCTCTCTGTCCGGGTCATTTTCACGTCCCCCTCGTCCTCTTATTCTTCTTCTTTTTCTTCTTCTTCATGGACAGCAACATCATCCTGATCATCTGCATCATCATCGTCATCATCATCAACATCATCATCAACATCATCATCATCGGCATCATCATCCAACCGCCATCACCATCATCATCATATATCAGCACTGCCACCAGCATCATCATCGTCAGCATCATCGTCTGCATCATCATTGCCATCATCAACATCATCATCATCAGCAACAACATCATAATCATTATCATCGTCATCATCAGCATCACCATACTCACCATCATCGGCATCATCAACATCAGCATCGTCATCTGTAATATCATCACAACGAGCATCGTCCTTAACAGCATCAGCATCAGCATCAGCATCAACAGCATCATCAGCATCATCATCGCCACATTCATCACCACATTCATCATCAGCACCGCGGTGATGATGATGATGATGATGATGATGATGATGATGATGACAATCACCATCATCATCCTCATCACAAGCACCATCCTCAGCATCGTCATCGTGCTCCTCCTCCTCATCATCATCATCATCATCTTCATCAATATACATCTTCATCCTCATCCTCATCAGCATCCCCATGCTCAGCCTCATCATCAACAGCATCGTCATCCTCATAGTCATCTCATCATCCTCATCGTCATCGTCATCGTCATCATCATGAGCATCATCATCATCATCATCATCATCATCACCATCATCATCGTCCAACTCGTCCTCCCCCTCCCACCAAGCCACCTTTCCTGGCACAGTTTCGAAGTGCGCTCGGTCTCACTGGGAGTTGCTAGGAGGCTGCGTAGCTTTCATGTGATGCCTCGACCAGGCCGTCGGCCCGATGTGAACGCAAGAGCGTCCCTGTTGTTCACGTGACTCGAGAGTGGTCACCAGTTCTGACTCGACGAGAGGCTGTTGCGGCCTCGTGCGCACTACGATCAGCCCGAAGCCGACACACGTGTGGACCTGGCCATGCTGCAGCTCCGACGGACCGACCTGCTCTCCTCCTCCCCCTCTCCTAGCCATCCGCGTGCAGCAATCGGGCGGGCCCCAAAGGGCAGTCCTCTGTGGCGCCCCTTCGGGGTGCCACCCGGCTCCACGTTGCGCTGGCACGTACGCTCTCCAGGGTGGGTGACACTCGCAGCGGGGCGGACCTGCCCCGAGTGGGCCCCATGCGACACGCAGTCTAAGTACGCAGCTCGGTGGAAGCTCGGGAGAGGAGGCTCGGTGGGCGGAATCTACCAGAGCCCAGACGCCGCTCAGTGGCAAGTCTGACTGTGTAAGCCACCGACTTTGGCTAAGATCTCGGATCGCAAGGCGTCAGGCCCGTCACCATCAACTTCTCCCTCCTCTCTCCACTTTCTCCTTCACTCATCCTTCCCTCCCTTCTCCCTTGTCATCATAATTTGCCTCCCTTCTTCTGCCGCCTGGCCCCTCCCCTTTCTCTCATCCTGCTCCTCCTCTTCCTCCTCATTATCCTTCTCCTTCTCCTCCTCCTCCTCCTCCTCCTCCTCCTCCTCCTCCCCCTCATCAGCATCATCATCATCGTCATCATCATCATCATCATCATCAGCATCATCATCATCATCATCATCAGCATCATCATCATCATCAGCATCATCATCATCAGCATCATCATCATCATCAGCATCAGCATCAGCATCAGCATCATCATCATCAGCATCATCATCAGCATCAGCATAAGCATCAGCATCAGCATCATCAGCCTCATCATCATAGTCATCATCATCGTCGTCGTTATCATCATCAGCATCATCATCATCATAAGTATCATGATCAGCATCATCATCAACAACATCATCATCAGCATCATCACCCTCCTCTCCCTCCTTCACCCTGCCGCCTCGTCTTCCTGCCCATCAGCATCGTGCGCATCCTCGTGTCCCTCATCCGTAACAGCCTGTCCTCGTCATGCACTTCCCGCCCGCACGTTCGAAGGCCCTGGATGGGGGCGGCGGGGCCAGTGAGAATGCATGGCGAGAAAGATATCCACCGCTAAAATAATTGGAACACACATGCAACGGATGCGCCATCACTGTCGGTATTTTTCGTACCGCTGATTACTCAAGAGCGAGCGCGACCCAGCCTGTCATCACACGGCACTTCGCCACGTCTGCTTTCTCCTCCCCACCTCCTCCTGCCTCCCTCCTCCTCATCCTCATTATCCTTTGCCTCCTCCTCCTCCTCCTCCTCCTCCTCCTCCCAATACTCCTCCTCCCCCGCCTCCCTCTTCCTCCTCCCCACCTCCTCCCGCCTCTCTCCTCATCCCTCTGCTCATCCTCCTCAATCGCCATTAGGGCCCATCCTTTTTCCCCCTCGCATAATTCCTGCTGCTGCTGCTGCTCCCCCTCTCCTGCCCCGTCCTGCTCCGATCTCCCTCCCTCCTTCCTCCTCCATCCGTCCTCCATCCTCCTCCGCCTCCTCCGCCTTCTCCACCTCCTCCGTCCTCCGACATTCCTCCTCCTCCTCCTCCTCCTCCGCCTGCTCCTTCTCACCATAATCATCATCGCCCTCCCGCGAGGAGGCTGCCTGCAGTTGGGCAGCTGGGAGGTCACCCTCAACAGGGCCTGGCGGGGCGGGCGAAAAACACGCAGCCCGAGCGCATGTGACCAGCCCGTGCCCCTTCACTGTTGCACCTTCCCGACCAGGTCCGCGCGCATGCCTTGAAGCGGCGCTGGGCCCCCATCTGGCGGCGCCTCGAGCGCCTCCCCAGGCGCGCTCCGCGTGCCAGGGCAGGTCCAGCGCCGATCCAGGAAACCCGCGCGTAGTTCCGAACGTGCATGTGAACGCCATTGTTCTGGACGAACGAAGCAATCCCCACCCCCACCGGGGAAACCATGGCCCTGGTGGGCACTCTACCCCCACTGGGTGGGGATGGGTACTGTCTCTTTCGAGTTTCGGAGCACCCATCCCCACCTAGAAGGGGTACGCTGGGAGAGCGAACTTACTCTGCCCTGGTGGGGGTGGGGACGGTTGCGACGATGATGATGATGAATTGCTCTTCTTCGACAACTCCCGATCGTTCCTCGGCCAGCGTTCCTCGCCCTGTCTCCAGTCCTCATCACGGTGGCGACAGTAGGAAGCGGCATGCCACACTGGATCAACGCGGCCGAACACACCGATAATGATGCACAGCGAACGCGGCAGCAAGGGCGCCCCAGGAGGCCCACGATGGCCCCTAAACGCCCAGAAACGTCGACCACCAAACCTCTCCAGAGATCCGATGTATTGTGTTGTGTGTTTGAAAACGGGGCCCAAGCGGTCCCGACCCTTTCCCCAGGACCAGCGTTGCATCCTGGTCGTTTGTTGACAGTCCAGGGGCCCAGCGAGGGCCCCCAGCGGCCGACATCCCTGGGAAAACCTGAGTACTGAATTCTTGTCTCGACGCTTGGCGGTCTGAACACCGCCAGCACTGGCGGCGGCGGCGACGGCGACGCCTGGGCGAGCGAGGCCCGACCCCGGCGGGGCGCAAAGACGGGGCCCGCCTCTCGCTCGTGGAGGCTGTCGCCCAAGGAGAACACGTTCTTCCTCCGGCTCGGATCCACGGCCTCGACGGCGGCGGCAGTCGCGGACCAGGGTTAAGTCGGGCATGCCCTCCTACAGGCGGATTGTGGAAGAAAATATAGAGCAATCAAAAATAATCCCAAAGAGCCCCACGAATCGTCACCAAACTACTTCGAAAACGAGTCCTGAATATTCCGCATGTAGAGGGACATGCCCGACTTAAGACCAGGGGGCGGCGACGGCGGCCGCCGGCGGTAGCAGCGGCGACCCCACGGCCCCGCGAGAGCGCCGACGGCGGCGGCGACGCGCGGATGCGGCGCCGGCCACGGCGGCGACGACGGCGACGACGACGGCGAGCACAACGGCGGCTTCGAAGACGGTGGCGACGGCGGCGGCGGTCCTGTGGGAGCCCAGCGGTGGGTCGATGACGCGAGCCACTGATGCAAAAGAGCGCAGAGCGGGCGCGTCGTCCGAGCGACAAAAAGAAACGGGTCTTACGCAAGATGGCACAGCGACCCTGCGCGGTGGCTTGCGCAGGCCGCCAGCGAGGAGCGCTGCATTGGAAACGAGGGCGCTCACGCGCGACCTTACATGAGGGGGGCCTCCACACAGTGAACCCACAAGCCAGGACAAACGACAAACCAACTTTTGCACAAACAGTACTGACCCTTATAAATCGACGAAGAATTCCTCAATCACACTCATACTTAGTCACACATGCTCCCCCCCCCTTACGCGGGCAACTTACGCGCGAACTTCCGCGACGACGGCCCCGTTTGTCTGCGTCGCTCATCTAACAGCCGTGGGGCCCGCAACGGGCCTCCTGACGCCCAAGCGTGGAAAACTCTGGCGGCCTGATTCTTTTCACGCCGCTGCCGGTCTGGCGTCTGCCCCCCCTACCCCCCCCCCCACAAGTCGACGCGACGCCTGGAGTGCGTCCCGAGCAGGATCCCAAAGAGAACCCGGCCGAGGCGACGAAGACCCCCAGAGGCCCCCCAAAACAGCAAACAGCCAGAGAGCGCCAGACTCCTCCGTCCTCCCCTCCCCCCTCCTCCGGGCCCCCCAGCGTCCAGAGAAGGCCAGAAAAGCCAGGAGGAGGATTGCCACGGCTGGACTATTGGGGCACGAAGCGGGAGGAGGGAGGAGCGGGCGGAGGAGGAGGGAGAGATGGAGCGGGAGGAGGAGGAGGAGGGAGTGAGGGAGGGAGGAGGGTTGGGAGGCCCAGATCTCCAATGGCTTCATCTCAAGATGCTGGTCCCCGCAGGACCCCTTCCCTGGCGCTGTTGTTTCATCGTGTTTCTTTGTGTTGATTTTGCTTTCGCTATCGCACGGGTGCATGCTGCGCCGACCCCTAGCGAGGAAGGGATTGACCGCAGGCAACGCAGATGCGCCGCAGCCGAGAGAAGGGCGTGACATCGCTGCAAACAAGAGTTAGAGCAGCTGCTCTTCGAACAGGCTGCCCGTCATGCTCCTTCATCCCTGGCGCTGGTGTTTCATCTCGGGATGTGTGTCGACGGCCCCTGTACGCAGAAACGGCTGCCAGGGCCCAAAAAAGTGTCGCCAGAGCTGATGGGGTCTCGGAGAACACCTCCAGCGCGATCCTGCTCCAGTCGCCAGGTGGTGGGTCTGGGGTTCGGGATCCGTCCAGGGGGCGCGGGCTTGCCACCAGCTCGAGTGGACTCCAGACGCGGCCATAAGAAATGCCCCCCAGAGTCCGAAAAAGGGAAGGAAGCCATCCAAAACCTTGACTCATCAGTCCTGGATCGTCCTTCCCCTCCTCGATCCTGGATTCGATCCTTGAGCCTGGGCCCTCGATCGTGAATCTTCGATCCAGACCTTCGATCCTGGATCCTCAGTGCAGGATCGATCCTCTTCGACCCTGGATCCTCAAGCCAGGCCTTCGGCCTTCGACCCTGGTTCCTCGATCCGCCTCCTCCTCGAGAGGAAAGGACTCGAGCGATGGGGCCGTCGACCCATCGACCGACTCTGGCAGCCCCGAACCCCAAAATGTTGACGCTCCAACTTTACTCCCGCCGCCTTCCGCCAAGACGACCCAAGAGGGCCCGAAGACGGCCCCAGGAGGGGCCTCGAGGGGGATCACGAATCCGAAATCCGAGCCTTCCTCCCCAAGAGGCGCCCAGGGGGCCCCAAGAGGCCCGCAAGAGGCCCCAAGAGGCCACCAAGAGGCCCCCACGAGGCCCCTAGAGGCTCCAAAGAGGCTCAAAAGACACCCCAAGATAAACGGCTTCTTAAAGGCTTCAGAACTGCATCCAGGAGACCCCCGACGGGCTTCCACGAGATCCCGACGAACATCCGAGAGAACTCAAACCTACCACCCAAGCATGGCGACGGGATGGGCCGATGGCCATCAGATATGGGCCGGCGGCACCGCCGCCGATATTTCTCAGAAACCCATAAAGAGTGACTTTGATGAACCAGGCCATTGGCGCACCCGGGATAAGTGCAAAGCCGTGGGTCGAAATACAGCCAACTCGTATAACTACAAGGACGCACGACAAGGATGCAATGGCCTTGGAAGGCCATGTCGACACTCTGCGAGCGGGGAGCGACCAGCGAAAGCGGAACATTGGATGGGCCGAAGGGGAAGGCTGCGAGGGCACTTAACCTTGGGAAATAGCTCATCCTTACTATGCCTGTTGACTGTATTCCTCATTCCTCGGGCGGGTGGCAATGGAAGGTGACCCAAACGGGGAGTGAAGAAATGGACCCTAAAGGGACACTTTAGGGCTGCTCCAGAGTCCTTGCTGGCTGCCAAAGAGGCCCTTAGGGGCCCTTTGGGGGGCCTTTTCTTCACCCCCCGGTGTCGGTCACCCCCCATTGCCACCCGCCCGAATTCCTCCCTCTCTCTCTCTCTCTCTCTCTATCTCTCTCTCCCAACGGATCCGGCAGAGCCCCGGCCTGCAAGCCCTGGTCCCCAAAGCCTGGGCCTACTTCCGCCAGACTGCACCTCCGCCGAGGGCCCGGCAAGCCGCGAACCCTGAGACCCAGCGCCGCGAACAAAAAAATCCCTCGCGGCGCGGCAGAGGCGATCCGCTCGCGCGTGGAGCAACAAAACCAGGCTGCGGAGTGGCTAACTGTCCCGCATGAAGAGTTAGAGGCCTCCTAGATGGGGTCCGAGTAGATGGTGTCGCAGGATCGCGCCGCATCGCCAATGCATCGCCAATGTATCGGCGATGCATCGGCGATGCATCGGCGAAGTCGGCGATGCATCGGCGACGTCGGCGTGGGGAAGCACGGTCTCCACATCGAGCCGCATCGTCGATGCATCGACGATGCGGCGCGATCCTCCGACCCCATCTACCCGGACCCCATCTAGGAGGCCTAGACGAGTGGAAGAGGTGAGAAGCGGGCGGCCGTGGATGGAGGGGGAGATCATTTTTTTATTCCGGCCGGTAACGCTCGTTACCCGGGGGGGGGGGGGGGTCGTGCCCCCCGGGTAACGGTAACGCTTGGGCTGGGCGGGGTATGGCGAAGCAGGGGCGCTCTGCGATCGCCATAGTATGCGCGCGAGCAGCACTCTCTGCCTGAGAGCACCACAGTGGCTTGCGATTCGAGTACAAGCGCAAAGCCCGCCGCGTGGTCCCGGCACCACGCCCGCGCCCGCGCGCGCGACGACGATGATCGACGAGCGACGAGCGACGAGGTCGACGACGACGACGACGACGTTTGCCGCCTGTTTCGGCCTCCGGAGGCCGTTTTCGGGCGCCGTCGACGACGACGACGACGACGACGACGACGACGACGACGACGACGACGACGACGACGATTCGAGTACAAGCGCAAAGCCCGCAAGCACCAGCATCGCGCATGCGAGCGCCGCAATGGCCTGCGAGCGCCCACAGTGCGCCTGCGACCACCACACCACAGTGCGCATGCCTTCGGGCACCAGCATGTTGGAGGGGAAGACCGAGACCCCCCCCGCGTACGAGCGTTACCGTTACGGGGGGGGGGGGGGGGGGGAGAGGCCCGGGTAACGAGCGTTACCCCCCAGAGGATAAAAAAACAATCTCGGGGGGGGACGCGGGGGGCGCTCTCACGCTGCGGCGCCGCGGGAAGCGCGCGGGGCGGCGAATAAAAAACACGCCATCGCGAAAAGCCACCACCAGACACCCCGGCTCCATCATCCGGCGGCGAGCGAGGGGGGGCAAAAGGAGGAGGAGAAGGAGAAGGCCTTCTCAGAAGGCGGCGGGGCTTCTCAGAAGCCCTCGCGCCTTCTGAGAAGTATCCTGTGTCTTCGGGGACAACCGAGAAAACTTCTTATGAAACCATAAATTTCCCGAGCCTCCCACCCCCCTCGAGCGGCATCGATCCGTGGCACCATCTTGCGGCACCCCTCGAGCGGCATCGATCCGTGAGGACTCCTGGGCCCGAGAGAAGGGCGGGAAAGCGCTCGGGGCGCAAACGACTGCGACGCCCGGATCTCAGGGAGGGCGATGTCCTGCTCCACGCCCAGACATCCGACGATCTAACAAGTATTTCGAGTGCGCGGCCCCAGAGGTCCCGACCGCTCCCCTGGTGCCTCATGGATCCGAGTTTGGTCCTCGGGCCCGATGAGGGGCCCAGAGGCCGAAATCGAGAAATGCCCGGACAGCGAAAATCGCATCGTCGAAAATCTGTTTTTGGGTCGTCACTCGAATCTCCAGCGACGATTTGAAGCGGGTTGGGTACCCCAGAATGTTCTCGGCGAGACGCAGCTGCTGGAGAGCATCCCTAGGCTGGAAATCTGCCGAGAACCGATGAAAACCCAAACCTCGAACCCGAGACGTAAGACGAAACCAGGACGAGGAGAAATTTGGGTTATGGTAAATCGAGAATTTCTGAAAATCGGCAGCTCTGGAGGATGTATCGGGCGTTGCGGCCTTCTCAGAGCATTCCGGAACGCTCCGAGAGCGTTCCGGAACGCTCTCCGAAAACGTCCCCCCCGGGCCTCGGGGAAGGCGAAACCCCGCTCCGTGAGGCGCGCGCGCGCGCGGCGGGCGGGAGAGGGGCGCGGGCGCCCGGTCAGCGTAGATGCGCCGGATCTCGTTTTCGAAGGCGAGCACCTGGCGGCCCGGCAGACGGCTTGGAGCGACGGGGGTGGGGCGGAGCGAGGGGGGGAGAGAGCGAGAGGGGAGGACCCCTATGTCCCTCTTGCTGCTGGACGGTGGAGGATGTGTGGCCGTGGAAGACAAGTTTGGCGGCGCGCAGAGTAGGGTAGGGGGAGGGGGAAGGCTTCTTAGAAGGAAGCTGCCTCTTAGAAGGCGCCAGCCTCACATTCATAGGCAAGGCCCGCGCCTTCTAAGCAGGGGTGCTTCTACGCAGCCTTGCCCTCTCCCCCTACCCCCCGCGTGGCAGGGAGTCGGTGGGAGTCATGATGAGGCTGGAGGTGGGGAGGCCGTCCATCATTCCACCGCGTCTCCGAGCTCTCTCTCTGGGCCAGGCTGTGTTGCTGCTGCCCCTCGTGCGCGGGCGAGACTGACGCCTCGGGCGCGAAGTTCGCCCAGCGGCCTGTCCAAGAAAAAGGGGAGGATCCACACATGCTGGCGTCGTGACAGAAGCGCTGGCCGTTTTCGCTCGGTCCTTCACCTGGCCCCAGGACCGTCAAAAAATTGCTGGGGGTGAGAGAAGGGCCCTGGGGAAAGGCGCCGGAAATCTGCGAACCCAGCATTGAAAGCCTTGAAAAGTCGGGGGGAGCGAGGGAGCGAAGGGTCGGGGCCGTCCAAGAGGGGGGGCGTCAAAGAGGGGGGCTCGCAAATCGTGGGCGGGGGCATGTGCGCGGGCGACGATGGGGGTGGGCAGGGAGTCGAAAGTGAGCCTGGTAGCTCAAATATGGCAAATAGCGCCCATCGCTCTGCTGTGAAGGTACAGTATGAGGGGTGGACGGATAAGATAGGATAAGATCGATGTAATGATCTTTCCAGCACATAGCGAACACTCGCGGTGTCCGGGCAAATAGGGCGCGCGTGCCTTGGGCCAAAGGCAACAGCGCGCGCGAGCTATGCTCCCGATACTATAACATCTCCCAAAGACCGACCCTTAAAGTCGGGAGGGGAGGAGACGGAGAGCATAGTCGCACGCAACGGTCGCGCGCACGACTGCTTGCAAAAAGGAAAACAGTGCGTACAGTCTGGCCTAACACCAGACTGCAAGGCGAGTTTCCTCGCAAAGCATTTCACGCAAATACAAGACAGCCCCTTCAAACAATGAAGGGCTATCGGCTCAGTTAGAGGTAAGCCAAACAGGCCATACCTCACCAAGCAAATGTGTATTAAGGCAAAGAGCCTGAGTTGTACGAAGCCGGCTCGTTGCCAGGCGTGAAATATAAGGCTCGTTTCCGAGCAACTAGAGGGGCGCCTTTATAGTAGGCGCCCGTGCTGGCAAATTGGACCGCGAGGGCAACAAGGACAGACTAAAATTGATTAGACTTAGGTTTGTCTCTGTCCTCGGGACCCCGAAAGGGAACAAATTGCTTCACGTCATACTTAAATGACTGAGTGCCTGACATCACTTCCAGAAGCAGCTCCCGATCGATGCTTCCCTTTGTATGCCCATCTGCGGTCATATCCCTAGTATCACACCATTGCACATTATGTACTATACCTATATCCATGAGCTCACGTATCCAGCTGATATGTCCAAGCAGAGTCCGTTCTGTAGGTATATTGAGATCCCTGCTTGATAAAGATTTGTAGACGGACTCGGCGTCTATGGTAAGAGAGACTTTGATAGCTAGGCCTCCAACTTCACGCATGTCTCGTAGTTGTCGTGGAGTCAAAGCTCCTGCCTTAAGCTCGTGGAGAGTAATGAGCGTAGGGTAACACTCATCAAGGTTATGTGCAGCTGCAAGTGCCTCCGCAGCATAACTGGACCTCACCTGTAATCGGTGTGATTTGCATAGTCCGTCACAGAGGTGAACGACGGACTTGCCTTGAGGCGAGTTTCCTCGCCGTAGTACATTGGCCCCGCGTATGCCGTAGCCCTTGGTCTCGTCATCCTCCTCCCCGGTAAGCTTCCGATACCCCGAATCGCTATGGATGTCAACTTCATTCGTCGGCTTCATCCGAGGGAAGGTGATACGTTTCGGGCTGCTGATCAGCTTTCGCGTCACAGCATTCAGACGTCTGACTTGCAGATTGGTGGGCTCTTGAATTTTCTGAAGAGAGACCACGTATACCATGAGCCAGATTTGGGTAAGAAGGGCATAGGCGAGGGCTCCTCGCAGGCTGACGAACATGTCGGTAATGAGTTTCGTGGCTTTGGCATCGGCCGCCGCTCCTGTAAGTTCTGGGTGTGTGATAGGACGTAGTTGTTTGATATACTCGTCCTGGTCCATGATCACATCTCCTTGATCAATCTTAGTGTAGCGAACGGCGCAGTTCGTATATGTGTGCTTGTTGAGCTTGCATTTGCCAAACACCTTTTCGACACGTTGTACATTGTCGTCTATATGTTTCTCTAGACCTGTCATGTTAATATCATCGACATGTTTTGCAGTCAGAAGGTCTTGGCTGAATTCAAATTCAGGATCGTAGCTGGTCGGTGTAAGTCCTATAGCTCGTGTGGTCGTACGAAGTTTGAGAGATAACGCTCTTGGAGCGTCCTTTGTACCCGTTCCTGGTTTGAGGCATCTAAGACAGTGTCGACTTTCGTCGTGGGATGAGAAGCCGGGTAAGGTACGAAGTACCTGAGCACTTCCTGGTGGAAGAGTAAAGCAAACCATGCGAGTTTCCTCGCCGGTGGCATGGGCAAGTTCCTCATAGGTCAAACCCTTGAGGAATGCCTTATCGATATCCATGGATGCTAAGATCCACTCTGGATGGCATGCCGCTTCACTTGCCAGGAGTCGTTGGGACCGCCTTCGGGCGGTTCCCGAGAATGTTTCCACATCAAAAGCCTCAGTATCCATAAATCCACGAAGGACCAGTCTGAGACGAATGGTTTTAACGTTCTCGGTACCCATCTTTACAAACTTCCACTTGTATACATATCTGGATGTCATGATGTTGGAAGCTTTGGATAAATCATACATCTCAAAGCATCGATTATCAATCCAGATTTTGAGCTCAGTATACAAAGCTTCACTAACCTCCTTTGGATGTGCTGCTATGTCGGCTTTGGTCAGTAGATCATCTTCTTTGACAACCACAGCACGTTTAGCAGCAGAGGATACATATACTCTCATCGTTGCGACCATATCAGTTTCGAGCTGTGCAAGTTGAGTCTGATCCAACACTATTTTTGACATTTCCGATGTAAAACATAATTCAACGTAAGGACCATACTCATCACTGTCAAGAGAGTAGCTCTCGTCGGTTGTGGTTGAACAAAGAGAGACTAGACAGGATTCACGTGATTTCGGCTCGTCTCCGAGCATATCTGATGATATAATATCATCTTCGTCCACAAATGCTGAAACCAAAACACATTGGTCGGGCAGCATAGTTGTTGGGACGCAATAAAAATAATCATCGGTAATCGTCGTAAGATGAAGGTCCATGCGTAGCTCGTCGCACCACTCTTCCAGCATCATAGCTTCGATATTGTGTTCCTCATTTTCCTCATAGATTGTCGACAGACGGCCTTCACTCGGCGATGAAGCATCTGGTGTGTCTGGAGAAGGCCTGTTTCCAGGCGACTCGTGTTCCCCAGACGTGTTGCTTGAATGCTGATATTTAACCAAATCGTCGCGAAATCCTAAGGAAGGGGCACGTGAAGTCAAGCATTGAATAAGTCTGGAGTGAGTGCTACCAGTGATCTGAGAAATGTTTAAGCCGGTGCCCACACATTCGTAGTAGTGGAACGCCGGGCTGATGTCGTTGTCATAGTGGATCAGCGTAGACCCGGTGGCGTACTTTACTGCAGGTAAGCTTGACACACTCTTAGCCAGTCGAACTGCTACTACATGTTCTACTCGGAAGTAATTTCGTACGAGATACTGTAGTGCTAAGTGTACGCGCGGGTGGAACTTGCTGTCGTCTGACAGATTAAGGTTTCCCTTGTAATCGGGGATATAACCGAAAACTTTGGCAGGTTTCCCTGCGCTGAGGTGTGCCACATAAGCAAGGACGGTTTGCATGGCCATATTATCCATGCCAAGTTCCCGTGTGAGGAGACATTCGATGTATAGTGTGTGACGAGCATCAGGATACATCACAATTACCTCACGAGATCCTGCCTTGACAACAATATGTCCTCTTTCAGGCACATTTCGGATTACCGGGAATGGGCCATTCCAGCCTCCATGGTCGTCCTTGGTGGCAGTAGGTCGGTGGTAAGTCGACCAAATCCCCTGATGAGTAGAGGCGAGCACCATCAGGAGTCGTCTTAGCCCTAAGAGCCCGATTTGTCTTGGCCACAGCAGTAGCCTGAGTTATAGCTTCTAGGCTGACTTCCCTTACACGACGTTCTCGTTCGTGTCCTGAAGTCTCGGGTCCCTTGGGAAAGTCAAGGGTATCGAGATCAGGGAGGAAAGAGGGCTGACGTCCTGTGTGTGCCTGATATGGCGATACTCCGTTATAAAACGTAAACGCATTAGTAACGAAGATGCCTTCCGCCAATACTCTAGTGAATACAACAGGGATGTTGTGTCTATTCAATTCTTCCTCAATCATGTGGAGGACGCCTCTGAGAATGCCGTTTCGTGACTCAATTGAAGTCGCGTGTTGGCCAGGTGCTCGGATACGAAGTTCCGTGCCCTTATTGGCCATCATGGTTTTAGCGGCATCGTTATTCAGGGCGCCTTCTCCGTCTGAGTATAAAACTTTGAAGGGTCCGTGATAGGCAATCCAGCAGTAGTGGTAGGCGTCGATGATAGCATCGCGTTCTCTGTCGGAAATTTCTAGGCCTGCTGCCAGGCGAATACAACGATCCATAATATGAAATATGGTTCATTTTTTGTAAAACATGAGGTCCATTTCCCCTTCGTCGAGCCAGTTACCAGGAAGGCTCACCGATGGTAGTGTTGAGTTTCCTGGACGTTCCCATGCTCTGCATTCCCGACAGGTATCGCAAACTTCCTTGATCATGTTCAGTCGAACGTCATCAAGCCCCACCTTTTCGAGGA